AGGGGACTGAATACGGCGCTGTGACTCTCGTCAGGGTTTGGTTGTCGTTTCCAGAGGAGTATTGACTCGAAATACCCTCGCGGTTCATACGACCTGTGGCGCGCGTTCGTTGTGACGTCTATGTTTTGAGCACGTCGTTGACACACACTGCGCATTACGTGTGCATGCGCTCAAACAGGTCCCAGTTCATTCATGTTTCCACACAAGTGGCAGCTTTCCGCCCCCATGTTTGTTCACAACGTTCCTCGCACTATCATTAGCATTTTAGCCGGTCCAAGCAGTACCCGACGTTGGGCTCTATACTCGTGAGGAGCGGATTTCCTGTGCCATTTTGATGCTCACCTTGATGCTTCATACTATTCGCCTATCGTCGTTAATTACTGATTTTACTTTCTCCCGTCTATGAGCAAGTGTGGTACGCATGCTACGTATCCACTGCGGCGATAATATTGTTTCAGATCAGGTGGTGTGATTACCTATTTTTCTTCTACTTCCACTGTCACTGTTTTGCACTTTCGTACTAGCACTAATTTTCCGCACGATACAATCCTACGGAGGTGCTTGCTTCCTTTATAATTCGAGATTGCGCTTCATTTTCGTGAATGTCCAGGCGAATTTCAACTTTCCATCCTCGTTGTCGCATGTGGCTCCCTACTTCTTCTTCTTCTCCCTTGATATGTGTTTTTTGATCTTTCCGTTCCACTCCACAGACCCCGGCATCACGCTCTGGTTGGATATTTCTGCTAGATTGTACTCCGACCATGATGGGACTGGATAAACACGGTTCAACGAATCCCACTGGGTTTCAGCTTGCTCTGCGATGTTGCCAGACGGTCCAGCAAAACAAAGCTATTGCTTCGCCTAAAGACATGGTAGGACTGGTGTTTATGCGAACGGTACGTGCATTGTTTGCTTGGGCTTTTTTGATAAACTAAACACCTTGACTGCAGTCTCCAGGGTTACCCACCTATTGCGCCGATACTAGCTTCCTTAAGCATATTTCAACAACGCTTTTCTCTCGATCTGTTTGCGGCTTGGAAATATACTTACTGATGTTGCTATGCTCTCGATGCATATATGTCAAACGAGTTGACCACAAGTACACGTGGCCGATGGACAAGGAAGAGTTGATTGCGCCTATGACGAGCGAAGTGCAGTGTGGTTTCAGCTAAAGCGGCTTGATTGTTCCCGGCAACAGTGGCGAACAACACGCCCTTCAAAGAACCTAAACAAATTCAAGGGGTGCAGTGTTGGCCGGGAATCCCGATGGGTTGGTGGGGTGTTGGGTCGACAGACGAAAACCAGTCGATGAACTACTTATACACAACACGCACAGACAAACATGTGATTCGAACCGTGTAGTTGCATCGTTTGGAGTTAGACTTACTTCAAGCACGTTGCTGCATTTCCCGTTCCGATTCAGTGTAGATATTGCTGATGCCGCAATCTTTATGCACCAGACCGTAACGTACCAACCCAACGCAATGCTTTAATCGGTTACTCCACGCATTCTTGTCATATCATCCAAAACAGATGACAATATTGGCAACACCCCACACCTCAAACTACTGGTAGTTCGGGTTTGCGATCGAAGTCTTGTTTGGTTCTCCGAATGCGACCTCAGGTATACTGGCACAAATGTTGTCTAATGTGTTGCCACGAACTATCAGCCTCCACAAAAGGACCGTTTATTTGAACCGGTTATTTTTACGGGTGAAATGCTGGTACCCAAACTGAATTCGGTGATAAGACTTTATGCGTGTATCTCTCGTTTGATGTACCACAAATTGGGTTTTCATCATACATCTACTGTGCAACGTGCATCGGTATCAGTCGATCCGACAATTGACACACAAACTCAACAGTGGACTCGAAACTTTATGTCGCTGCAATTACTTCGAAACTATAAGGATCAATACCCCTAGCCACGGTGTCGCCTACCCTCCGTTAGATATTCGAGGTGAAAAATGGGTGCACTTTCTCTGTATTCTACATATCCTTGCGACTTTTCACTAATAACCGTCGAAAATCTGCTTTCCAATCGCATCTGGTATGCGAAAAAGGCACCGGTGACAAATTCGATTTGGGAGCTTTGAGTTACTCGTCTCTTGTATCAAGGCAAAGCACAAACCTGACATTGTAAAGCAACACCAAGAAGCACAGTAGCTAACAACAGCGCTTAAACTCAAATTTGCTACAACAACCGGCTATTCGCTTCGATATCCAACAGGATAGACTTCGAAATGATGCCTGCATTAACTACAGTATCTTTGAATAGCGTAGTTATATCGTAGGTGAAATGGACAACTACGTGGCGAACGTGCGGTGTGGAGATATGAAGTATGTGACTGAAACGGCTATCAACAGTGTAATGTGTAAACGGTACAAAAGTGAAATTCGCATGTTACACAGCTTCCTGGAACGTTCTCCAAAACTAGGTCACATATCAGCCATAATGCGTACCGAACGGAATGGAACGATACGAAGTGGCGCTTATAGCGAAGTAAAGTGTCACACAAATGAGATGAAGATCAATCCATGCTGACATGGAACAATACAACCAAGTTGTCGGTGTCACTGGCGGCGTAACGGATCACCTATGTCGTTTCATGATGGAACGGTTAGTAGTTTGAATAAATGAACAAACGGCAACCGGCTCCAACGAAATGGAATCGCAATTATTTGCAGTGAATGTCCGAACTAGCGAAGGAAAATAGCCTATTGCACTATATTTAGCTCGGATTCCAATTGAAACAATATTGTTCGTTTATCTGATGGGCGGCTGAGCCATCGTGCAAGCAAATTAATCATTTTTGCTGGCTGGATGCTTTTTCCCATATACCTGCTTGTTCCAATTCACTCACTATTGAGGTTGCATGCGAACTCCCTTTAATTCGTAGCCAGTGCACGGTCACTGTACTTGGGAGAACTTGCTGTCATTGGGATGTTTATGTATTGCACAGAAAAAAGGACCTAGTTGCGATTTCTTTCGTTTGGTCGGCTTGGATGATGGAGCTGGCCGTTAATCCATGCTACCATATGCCTTTGCTAGAAAGCATTTTTCTAGGTCATCTAAATGGCATCGCATTTGGTCGAAACACGGCGGCATTTTTTGCCGACTGTTTGTCTTACTCCGTGGTTGACATAGGTCCCTTTTGTGATCGAGCAAAGTATTTTGTTTCAATGTGAGTAACCTGCCCCGCGCATTCTGAGTTTATTTTGCATCAACTGCAAGCCCTGCTGTTCAGTTCAGAAGACCTGTCTTGTCTTATTAATTTAAAGCTTGGATTCGTCTTGCGAGACGTTGTTATTCGCTTACTCTGTTTCATCACCAAACTTACCGCTTTTGTGCCCTAATCACTGATCGTTTTGCTGTCGATAGATTATGCCCTCTTAAAGTGGGTCCAGCGTGTGCATGTGTGTGTGTGTGTGTGTGTGTGTGTGTGTGTGTGAAACCATCGGTGACTCCGTGCCATGACAAATCCTTCTCTCAGGGACAAACTATTCTACTCTGAGTTCGCTCATCTAGTGAATAACACCCTTTTAGTCGCTAGTGCCGTTTTCTGTGCCTCCAGCTTGCTGCGGAATACAATTCATCACATTTGTTTATCCGTCTTGGCTTGTAAGGGCTAATGTAGCCACCAGTGGGATGCATCCACTGGTCGATTTCAGCAGATTTCCACCGGTAGAGTCGTTTTTCGCATCATTCGACCGGTCCACTCATTAGCATATCAAACCTCCACTCGCTTGTTGTCAGAAGCTCCAGGATCCGAATATCATACACGGGTTGTAAACAGCTGGTTAACATCAAGTCTAAGCACGACGCAGTTGAGCGTGGTGTTATGCACGTCGTTTGACAGATGTGTTATGCTGCCTCCATATCAAGTTCTATATCAGCGAACTTTCCTTCGACTTCACAATAATCGGTGATAAATACAATTTCAGGCCAGCGTATTCGAGGACAATTAAAATCGCATATGAGTAGAAAATGACAGCGATTCTTGTGGTCTCGGAGATGCGGCAGATAATCCAAATAACGGCTCAGAGGACAGCGATGGAATGCACTCACGTGCAGCTCTCCGCGCCTGAAGTGGATCGAGCACCACAACTATTCACTTAGTCCAACTTCACTTCGCTGGGCGCTCACAAGTCTCCCACACAGAGAAGACCGGATATAGAGCAAGACGCCACCGTGCGCATTAGATAGCCTATCACAGCGGAAGCGCGCGTAGCCATTAACCTCAACTTCTTGGTTGAGTACCTCATCGTTCAGCCACATCACTGCGAGTCCCATTACATCTGGTCGCTCCATAGCAACGAAACGACACAGCTCATCGCGCTTGTTCACAAGACTGCAGACGTTGGTAAAGGCTATACGCAGGCGACGGTAAGAACTACTGGGCGTGCCTGAAGAATGAGCGACCGATTCATCCGAATTCGCGTTCGTGTTGTAGTCACCCGAAAACTTACCATACGTAGGTTTGTTTCTCCACACCAGTTTGACGCTTTAACTCGATGATGTCGTACTTGGGGCGCTTCTGGCCACCTGGATCGATATCCGGACGAATATGTACTCTATCCGTCTCCCAGTCTACTCAATCGAGACAGTATTAGCGTCAGGCTGGCTTGGTCGGCAAAGGTTGCCCGCACAGGTCGGTCTTTTTCAGCAGTGTTTTTCTCAAGGCTATGACTTGTTTCACTTTTACTCCGTCCTCACTCAAATTGTGGAGCCTGTCAACCAGGTTCTGTGAAAATACTACATCATGACCATAGCGTGCCTGAGGACTAAGCTCGTTGAACTCAGACGCGTGAAAAAGCATCAGAGTTGATCGTCTGTTGTCATTTAAAGTGGTTGCTGCGGGAGAAGCGGAGATTAGAGCTTTGCTTTACCTGACCTGCTATTAGTCAGTAGCAGAGACCTTCATTTCATTTCGCGGCTTTTTCCGTCGTTAAGTTTTCCATAGTTCAGCATCCATTGGACATTCATCTGCGTCTTTAGAGCTAGCAGAGCGCAGAGTCAATGGATGGTTAGCCTCAGTTAGTGTCTTGTCTCCGAAAACATTAGGATGGCGACGTGAGTTGTCAACAGGAATTGATTGGAAGGTTGGGTTGAACCTTGGATGGATTCCAGGCCAGTTTGCGGAACGGTAAATCTTGAACTACTCATGATTAAACTTTTTCGGTTGCGAACTACGCCGGTAGACCTTGTACGTTCCTCTGGCTGCCTTAGACTACGACAGCCATTAGCCGAACAACCTCCTCGTGGTGCCAGCAGGGTGGTTCGAGTTTAACCCATTCCAGCAAATAGTTCGGCGGCAGTGTTCCAGGACGTGGTGGGTTTTCACCTGACAAACATTCTCCCTATAAAAAACCACAAATGTCCTTTTAACAGCACTGTGATGTGACTCGCCACAAGCTAAATTCCCTGCCCCGTGGATATCTAGAGACGAGTAGCAATCTCTTCGGACCAAGTGCTGAAGCTGCGCCTGAGGGCCAAAGCATCCGAAGGCTGTTTTGGTAAATCCTATTCGTGTTGTCAATGGACTTTAGGTCGCAGTGTGAGAGCACACCGAGGTCGCGCACGAAAGGCGCGGGATGCAACGGTTGACCAGCCACTTTGTAGATTCGGCTGTGCTCACACTTACTCAACCTCATAAATTGAGACTTGGCAGGGTTGATCGGAAGGTTAACCTCTGCAGACCATGTCGAGAGGCGGTCGAGATCCTGCTGAAGTAAATCACAATCATTGAGTGTGCGGATTATTTTCCACACCTTCAAGTCATCTGCGAACAACGCACAAGGTGATTGGAGTAGCTGAGGCACATCGTTTACATGGATCAGAAACAATATCGGCCCCATTACAGTGCCTTGGGGCACGCCGCTGCTCGATGGATACCACCAGTCAGTTAGATGGTTGTCCAACTGGACCCTCCACTTTCACGGATAATACTATCCAACCCACGGACATAATTCGTTTATTCTCACATTCCTGACGATATCAAACAGTCAAAAAGACAGCAACACACTTTCAAGCGACATAGCTACATATCTAACAATTATATGCGTGTATACACCCATACACACATTCACTGTTATATAAAACGTATTTTTGTGCATTTTCGACCACACTTTGTTATGTTAACATGATCACGCCTGTGAAGGTGTGCCTTGCGTTGTCGAGAATACAAAGTTTATTTATTTATAAAAATTTGGATGAACTCATGTTGAATATAACGCAGTAGACGATAGGGATCGTCAGGTATTCAAACACACGAAAGATAAAATCTAGCACAAGCTCCCTTCATCTCCCGGACCGTAGTGCTAACGTACCAGGTCTTGTTGTAATTTGGGGGTTATGCCGACTGCGGATAGCAAAATGTTTTTGAACTGCAAATGGGTGGCACACTCGAACATAACCTGCAGTCTCCGAGTGAAGTCTCACCACATCGTTTAAATCATTTCGAAACCTATCTCTTACCACTGCTTGTACACATCTACTTATTTCGGAATTACTCTGTACTCTTTTCATATATGTCAAATAACGGATCACTCACCCCCTATCTAGTTGCACTTATTCATCTATCCCATTATATCTGATTGTCGATGTGGTATTCACTGCTGCACCTCCATCGTCATGCCTCTATTGGTGTATGCGACTAGTCGGGAGCGAAACTATTTCTTTTGCTTATTTGAATGTATGAGCCGTTGTTAATGTGTTATTTAAACAAACTACAACCATATTCGTTCTGTCCCCTCCAAACGGCCCAACGCTGTACGCGGCGTTGACTTGCTTTCAGTGATGTACCAGGACTGCTTTCTCATTAGATTACTACAGCCACACCCATTTCAGGGTGCACAATTGGTCAGACCATTCATTTTGCTTACCCTTTCCCGTCTTACTTCTTGTTTTCCAGACTCCTTTGCACTCTTCTTATCTTTAATTTAACTTGAAGTATGGGAAAGTCTTCAGCTGTATGCCATAACAGCGCTTCACTGCCGCGCAACCACCACTAGTCGCGCGTGGGCTGAGTATACCGCGAGGATGCCCGCCCCTACGCGGATTCGAATCGTTGACCTTATGGTTGCAAGCCAGGCGTGCAGACCATTCGGTCACTGACATGTTCTCTCGCAATTGTTATCGTTGTTAATCCAATGCATTGTCTCCCTTACTGTGGTCTGTACAACAACGTGGCTTCTCCTTTGCGTCGCCCTTCTATCGCTCGCTTACATGGGGAAAGTTATCAATAACGGAGATTCACACGAACGCTGGAGTCAACATTCTTGTCCTGTGGGTTGTTTTTGCATCTTCCCGCAAGCCGCACTGAAGCCGTGTTTCTCTCCTCAACTTGATGTTGGCGACATTTCGGCACTGTGTTACTGGACAGCACACACGCGAGCGACATTGACATGCTTAAAGTGCTGTCCAGTGTCACGTGGTTAGATGCCCAATACCTATGTTTACAAAGTCAACGCGAACACAATTCCTCGATTTGGTCCAACGGCTTCAAAAAATTAGAACAATCGTTTCGTTAAAATAGCATCTTGCGGTCGATTTTTCCTCAAAACCATGAGAGAAGCGTTCACTAGTTGATTTTGTCCCGTTGTGCGATGGGCTTAACTTCCACCGGCAGCGTTGTAACTTAGATGGTAGCCATATTGGTTTGCTTGATTAAGACCACATTACATTTTCGTCTAAGCTGCCTCGCTTTAGCATTAGAAACCGGTGCTCGTTCACTATTCTTGATTTCGGCTGAGAGAGGTGCGTCCCATATGTGACGAAAAGGGAATCCATTCGTTATTGTAATCATAATAAGGAGGTTTAGACACCAAGCTGATAGTGAGTGACCAGTTTGGCATCGGGCACCTGTCCGACTTTAATTTCCTCCATCTGCGCGACGAGCTGAGCGTGCATGCTCACAGAGGCTACGTCAATCGACCGCTGCCATGTTACTCGTCAACGTTAATCTGCTCGGAAGTTACAGTGTACTCATTGAACCTCGTGTCCATCTTGAACGCAGGTCGACCACATTGTGACAGCAAATCACTGCACCAAAATTTTATTCCGTGACTAGATGCGAATACGAAGTTTTTCTTGTATCATACCCCGCTGAATGTGCAATCTGCGCCTAACCAACCTCAGCTCCATGATGCGGTCATGAACGTTTACCATGGTTGTTGTGATGCTGATACCAATAGTTTCATCACAAGATGTCCTTTCAGCTCGCCAATTTTTCTCCTTCCTGCTCTGTTCCACCGCTGTTGCCACTAATTGCCTTCTATTCGTGAAAGCGGCCGGTCTATAAAATTCATTGTTATAACTGTTGGCCCACTGATGCCCATAGTCTTCTGTTAGCTTTCTCGTTTTCATCTAGCAACAGCCAGTAGATCTTTATACTGATAATAACAACATTTACTTTCAGTAGTGTGCAATAAAACTGATGTCTGGTTTCGTTGAGTGTTTTTGACGTTAATGTACTTCCGTTTCTTTTGCTAACCGTTGTACTCACCAGCGTAGTTCGCTAATTTCTTTGGTGCCCATCTGACGAACCCGGGTATCCCGGAATCGGGACATTTTCCACCTTTTAGCACACGTGGTCAGCTCTAGATCCTTTCTAGACAATCGGAGTTTATTGGGAACTAAACACCAAAGTTTGTTTACTTTCCAGGCGACATCTCACATTTTGCAGATGAGATTTGTCGTACCAAGTGACCGTACATAAAGACCGTGTGGGATTTCATTGACTCGTTCACCTGATCCGACGGTATTATTATGTGAAATCTTAAGCGACACTCATCCAGTCGACCAGCAACTGGTTTTCTTTTTTTCCTGGAATAATTAGTTCTCGATCAGTTTCACCGATCTGTTTCTGTAATATTTTCGTTGATACGGGTTCCGGATGCGAATGAACGACCGGGCTAAAACGATGCGCACGGTGAGAACTGTGTCAGCGGCGTAATCGCACAACGGCGGTCCCCCGACGAACGAAAGAGAACAAGCAAGTCGGCACGAGACGTTTATCCGGTCACTAGACCGCGCAGTCAAAGCCTACCGCGAGTACTCATCAGTTACACAAACAGGAACGAACGTCTAAGATAACTTCGGTACTTAACACTAGTATAGAGACAGTCAAGACGAACAGTCATGTAGTGGTAATTTCTAAGAACCCAGTTTGCTTTTGATTGCATTACATTTTCAAGTTCTGGAAGGTTCGGGAAATTTATTTTTGACGTTGTTTGTGAAGGGTTGGCTGGTCCTCCAATGACTTTGAGTGGACGGCTGCCCTTTTGGTTTCCTTCATCCGGCTACGCATTGCGATTGAACGCATTCGCCATGGTGGTCACTTGCGTTTGTAGAAACAGTGTATTTTTAGGGTTAGTTGATTTTTTGTATTGATGTCCGCCACTTTTTCATATGTGCTTTTGTTTCGTCCCCTTATTACATTCAGAAGAAGTCGTCCTCTTCGGATCTGAAGAACATTTACATCGTACAGGTGAGTAACTTTCGATACACATACATGACAGCAACTAATCTTACCGTCGATTCATTAGTTCACTGTCATCATCTATCGCCTGTCTTAAACCCTGAGGCAGATTCAACCTCGTCGTCTACACCTACGTGTCGTTGTCGACTAGGTGCCCTGATGAGCATTAGGCAACGGCGGAGGTTAGGTCAAATCAATAGAGCGAGGTTACGTTGTTTCCGACATGTGACACTTACACCTGCTTGTTGTTTAATGTTGACATCGTTGCTTTTCAAAGGGTTCAGGAACAACCGGTTGATGTATTTACTGCACAACGTTTTGTTTGTAACACAAAACCTCTTCAAACTAACTGAACTAGCTTAAAATTGGTTGACATTTTATGACTAACGTTCGTAAGAATTCGTAATAGCTTGCAGTTATAGGCACATGGCGGACCATCGTTTCAAATGGTACAGTAAGAGATTGTCGACTAGATGACCTATGATTGATCTATATGCACGTGTATGTAGTCTTTGTATGAGATCTTATAGATGCAGCTGGTTGTATTATCTAAACGTAGGGTATTCCTCAGATGTACCAGCAAAGACCGTTGCACTTTGCCCTTTTAAATACTGCTCTGCTTTTCTGCTTATACATTATCCTCCGAAACATCTTCGGAATTCCTGCTATCCCTATGCACTTTATGATTTGTCTTGGACATGGACGCTGGAATTTCTGTAACCGATGTTCCTGTTGAGAAGCTAGCATATCTACGCAGAGTTCGCCTAAGATCACCTCAATAGTACCGTCACCACTCGGCGACTCAAACTGCGCAGGCGAACGTTGAGCTCTCCTCATTGGAACTACTGTTATTTCAACGTAGCAGTGGATTTCTTCATGTTGAGAAGATTCCTCGCAGCTTGACTCATTCAGACAGATTGCACACATCCAGCAAAGCGCTAGATAGCAGTTTCGTCATACTGGAACTCGTCTGTAGCGCGCATCCGTCGGACCGCGCCCGATCCGAACCCATAGCCTCACTGTTGCGAATCAACGGCTTATCCCACTGGGCCGTAAGTAACGACGGCGGACCGCAATGTCTAATTTCTCACTGTGTCATAACGCGGCTCATTCTTCACTGTCATGCATGTTATAAACACGAGGAAGACAGGGCTAGCACCTACTCTCTAATAACCAGTAACCGTCTTAGGGGTTGCGTGCCTCTTCGATTAGTGACGGCTTGCAAAATTATGCGTAGCTCCCCGGGCCAGCCTTTCTCTCTGCTCGTCCATAACTTACATGACAATGGAAGATGAGCTGCCATTATCCATGGCTCAGTGACATTCGTCGTTTACTCGTAGGGGTCTTAGGTTCAGATCCAGCAGGATTCAACGGATGCACACTTCTGACGAGTCCCTGTAGGACAAAACGGCCTTTCTGGATGTGTGGTACCTGTCTGGCTAAGTCTAGCTCCGCTGTTATATATCATCGTGAACTGCGCAGACTCCACCTAAGCTCTCCTCAGTGACGTTGCAATATCTACTGTCCCAATCCGCAGTGACCTCAGGACATTGTCACAATGTGGCAACACCAATATTCACCTCCGTCTACAGTTTATGCATCGCGTTGCTATACTACTTAGCCACGAATACGACGGTGTGGAAAGTTTGCTTTCCTTTGACTGAACCAATGAATGAATTCTTCCTATCGGTCAGTCTTTCTTTTCTCCATCTCTGTACCTCGTGCGAGGTTACAAGTTTCGTCTCCAGTCTCAGCTCCAGTGTACATACGTCTGACGGCTAGGCTCCTTAATCCGTGGCGATCCGAATTCAATAGGCGATGAACATCTCTTCGAAATAACTTGAACGAGCCGCGATTGATTCGGATATCATCTGACCACTACGTTTCTGATTGTCATTCTTTGGACAGACATTCCATGTGAGACGTTGGTGACAATAATCCAACATGAGCTTGCTTCTGGGATATCTGCGCAGTGCGCAACGATTTATCACAGGGAAAAAGTCATCCGATTGACAAGTTCCATGGGACGGTCGGGATGGAAACTTATAAAATCAAGCGATGAAGTGTCATTAGTGTAACTATCTACCATTGGAGCGAATTTGTACTAGTAGTGACTAAGGAGCGAGTGCTATTAATACACCGTTGTATGGTGATAATGATAAATAGCAATGGAATAATAATATTCATCATACGTATATTTCTCCTGATGCGAAAAGCTGTGTATGTAGCGGCACAGATCAATATGTACCACAACAATAACAACCATGCTTTTGCGTGGGCGATACTGATTACTGGTTGCAAGAAGCAAGTAGAATTTGCTCTGTTTAGCTGCATCTAATGTCACTCAGGGACAAACACCCGTTATGTCGTGTTGCGCCCAAGATATTTTGCGTCTGCAAAGTGTTTGTCCAAGAACTTCTTAAATTCCGACACCGACCTTGACTCAACTACGTGCTGCGTCAGGTCGTTCCATGCCTTCACCACTCTGCGTTCGAAACTGAGTTGGTGAACGAACCGCTTCAAATCCGGTACGACAAACTTGTACCGGTGCCATCGTGTGCTGCTTGGTGTGCGCAGATGAAGCAGCGGTCCCAACATGGGGTAATCTCCCAGATGTACTATCCGGTGCGTCATGATGATGTCATTTCGCATTCGACGATAAGCTAGAGTGTACAGTCCTAGTTTCTTACATCGGTCTTCGTACGGCACACCTCGTAAATTGGGAATCAGCCTAGTGGCTACATGCTGTACTCGCTCAGTCTTTTCTACCTCGTCCCGGATAATAGGACAGTACGCGCGAGAGCCATATTCTAGCACTGGTCGTATTATTGAGACGAAGAGACGAGTGGCAATCTCTTCGGACTAAGTGCTGAAGCTGCGCCTGAGCGCCCAAAGCAAACGAGGGCTGTTTTGGTAAATCCTATTCGTGTTGTCCATGGACTTTAGGTCGTAGCGTGGGAGTACACCGTGGTCGCGCACGAAAGGCGCGGGATGCAACGGTTGACCAGCCACCGTGTAGGTTCGACTGTGCTCACACTTACCCAGGCTCATATTGGGGCATGCGATCTATGTAGTGGCGTTCTGGTGGATGGTTGAGGCCAAGGCCAATGTTTAGAAACGTACAGGTTTTGCAAATTTTGGGCCCCTCTTTAGTACCTGTGAATATAGTTATGGTATTCAGATTAAGGTAACTTAAGAGTTTGCTACTAAATGTTACCATGCTTCCACATGACCTGAGTATGATTAGCAGTTCATTCCACACATAACTATATCTCACCAGGAAAACATTTGAGCGAATGCTTGTTCTAACTTTTTTGTAATCAGTGTATACTCTTTGTTTCGAGGCTTTCTAGTTGAACTATGCTGCAGTTCGAGTGTAGGCAGATCGGAATATGTCTGTGTCAAATTGGACTTATCCCCTCACATTCATGTGCTACTTCTTCGGAAGTACGCTCAATCGACTCGGACCACCGAGCTCTATCTAACGGGGGTCTGTATTTTTGCATTAAGTCCAACGACACGCTGGTACACCACCAACGAAGTCTTCGGAAGTCTATTCACTAAGGCCAAGATGATTAACTTTGCTTATTTGAGTTTCATTTGTATCTTTATAATACCTTTCAACAGAGCTTCTTTAAGGCTGTCAGACAATATGTAACTTAGTGCTGTGTACCAATACATACCATAGGTACAGGCATATTTTGTCATCTCACGCTACCACCATACTTTTACGCGCATTTCACTGCACAAAGCCTGTGTGATTTTGGCTGATCGTGTGTCTAGTGACGCACCACCACCAAACCCGCTAACCGAAGCAAACAACTGAGGCAGCCCAAACGGCATGACCTGGGTGACCTAAAAATGCATCCCGACCATTGATCCACGGGCCAGAGAACTTTGTCTACCGGGAATCCAGTGAGCAATAAACCCAAGGTTAATCGTAGGTCGGACAAGCGGGGGACTGAGATCCTCTCGAAAGTCACGTGTTCGTTCTCTATCAATTCCTACGACGCAACAAAGGTGAACAATAAACGTAACGATAATTAAGATGGTTCAAACGCTTACGATAAGGTGTGAGATGTCTGTTACGTCGGCAGACCAAAAGGAACTGACTGCGGTATCGAGAAATCTCAGAACTCGAGTTGCAGCTTAATGCATTACGTAGCCCGAATCCCAGACCCGTTAAAAGGCGAAAACTCTCTATCAACAATGCTACACAGTCTAGCGAAACACCGTTAGTGAAAAACAGCAGTGAAAACAGGCCGGTTGAAGGGTTTACCAAGTATCACGTAATGCCCCAAAGCATGCAGTTACACACAAATTAAACGGTCACTTCCGTCAGGAGCTGGGCAACAACGACTGACTCCTACAGATAGTGCAACTAACAGCGTTGAACGTAAAAATCTTGTTGTAGCCTTGGCCTATCGTCCACGGAAGAAGCCAGATACCCCCACACGACAAACCCATTCCCACAAGGAAATGCAGAACAAACAATTACTACACAACCAAAAGGCAATAACAATAATATTTCCAAACGACCCAGAAACCACTAGCGAGTCGCTAAAAGGTGGACAAGCCGAGGAACAAAACCGCTGGGCTGAAATAACTTACGCACTGGAACTGAAAGTCCTCCCAACTAGTCTTACACACCTCACGAAATCCATCATCTCCACACGTAGGGGAACGTCGGTGACTGCGAATAACGTTTGACAACACACGCGACCTAGAAGATGTTCTCTTATCAAGCCACATTCTAGTGAAGTTTCCTGTCAGTGCCCGCATTTTTCCTGGCAGGTCCTGGGCAGAAAGACAGAAGCGGGAATCCAGCCCTAGTTCGTCACGTCTAAATGAGGTAAAGCAATTGGTACTGGTTCACGGGGTGCCAGAATGGAAACATGACAATAGCAGTGAACGACAGAAGCCTGACGTCGACGAACGGAAGTACATCACAGAACTTTACGACATGCAGACTCTCGTGGCTTTTGAAGTTACTCGTCTAATTGCGTCCA